TTATGAAGGAGTACATATTTATAATAATTTACAGTCAGATATAAAGAGTGTAAGCTCGTTCGGCGTTTTGAAATCTCGGCTATCTAAATACATTCTCGAAAGTTTTTCTTATACAAAGTTAAAATAATCTGGGTGAGAATAAAAGTGCTGAGCGTAGTGGTGTTGTAAGTGTTTGATTTTTTGTTTTTGTTTTTGATTTTTGATTTTTGATTTATTGAATTTTACTTGTGAAGTCATCTGTTGAGCGTGTGCCTAGATTGTATTACATACTAATTAATTTGTATCTGTATTAAAATTTTCTATATTTGTTTTATAGTATTTAATTTTATTGTACAGATTACTTTACTTTTTAACAACAATATTAAGTTTTTATTGTCATAGCTCAGTTAATCTATGAATTTTAGTTATTGTTTCGGTGACCGGTACTTAATAATTTAACAAAAATGTTATTTTGTGTTCTCACGTAAGTGGCTTTTTTATTGTCTTTTTGAGAATAAATTATTTAAACCAAATTTAATTTCATACGTTTAAATTCAATATCCATAAATATTTTTTTGCAGTTGCTACAAAAAAGAAGCTCCTTCTTAGGTAGAAGAAGAAGTGTGTTCACTTGCGGCTACAACAATCTGGCCATGACCAGTGAATACGTCTCGAAGAAGAAGAAAAAGATCGATTATTACAGTTCAGGATTTTTCTTTAAAAAATTTGCACGGAAACAATATCTGCGAGGTAACCACAAATTGATTTCTTGTGAACCCATGTTGCTATAAACTGCAGTGTTATAATATATACGTATGTACAAACGAATAGTCTGTGCATTGGTAAACTCTGCTATTAGCGCTTTGAAGCAGTCCGGTCATAAACATAACAAATAAAAATCCCATATCTGACAAAGCCAATATAGTTACCCTACTACAAAAGATATGAGATCTAATTGCTGTAATTTGTAAACCGTCAACATAAGGTGGTAACCCGGTTAATGATAGACATATTTATTTCTTTCATTCTCTACATATTACCTAAATTTTATGTTTAAAGCCAAGAAAACAATTTTTTTAACCATTTTACTTAATCCTGTAAACAAATATCTTACGTTTACTAGTTAATTCTAATTTAATGTATCTACGAGTAGTAGTAAAAACCAAGATCTTCCACATATTACAAATGCCTTAAGACTCCTTTTAACCAGTCCGGTTACAAAATCTACTTTTAGATGATATGTCCTGTTAATAAAGTACCTCTTTGCATAATTTCAAGCTTCTAGTACAGAAGACTCTGGAATTTCCTATTGAGTTGTAAGAGGCCTTAGACCTCCTTGATCCAACTTGGTTGTAAATTTTCTATTAAGCTTACTTATGCGAGCTATAGAGAACCTCCCTACCAAATTGCAGATGAAAAACCAAGTACAAGCTTGTAAGAGGCCTTGTTCGGCCATGTGAAAAAATACCATTCTAAGCTCACATGTTTACCGATATATTGCCTTTCTGCCAAATAAAGAGTCATGATATAGATTGCCTAAAAAATATGTTTGATAAATTTATTTCACACGTTGAGTATCCATTTATGATATTTCTACCCTGTTATTAGGAATTATAGTCGTATTTCATGAGCGATAACGTATATTTCCGATAACACGCATGTGGCCAAAATTAACCAAACTGACCTAACAAATTCGTAAATGGAGCTAAAAGAGCAAATAAAAGGCATATCGTTCTTTTCTTGCAAGTATTCCGAACGTTAAATAGATCAAAATAATTATCAAAGAGTTGGTTAAAAAATTCGCTTATTATTATTGGGATTGATCAGAGTTGTTAATTTACGCACTTGTCCGTAGAATACGGAAGTAAAAAAGTCTAGCTTTCTGTGATTACATTATATTTATAAATAGGCACATGGACTGGGTAATATATAAAGTGGCGTAGCTCTGACGTTGTCTTGTCTGACGTAGTTTCAACATAATTTAGCGTCACTTTTACTGATATGGGAGGTCCACAGTAACTCTACTTACTTATGTTTCCTTTACAAAGTCCTCTGTAAACTTTTAGTAACTGTCCACTTTTGGGTTGACGCTAATATGTATAAACATTAGCCTACTGAAGCTACTATAGTCGCAATTTTATATGCATTTTCTTTCGATAATCTTTCTGGGTTTAGCTTCCTAGGCTCTTATAGTATTTTTAACTCTTTTAAATCTTTCAAGAGGTTATTTCTTATTTTACACGAAAATCGCTCGTAGCTTTATAAGTCATCAGGAAAAAAGTAAAAAACAATTGAGTTAAGTACTTTGTACTATTTTATTTAGATCACAGCATGATTAAGATTTGAAAAATAAATTATTTGGTGGTATATTCTTTAGTAGTGAGCGCCATAGAGTCCGTGAGCTCCGTGAAGGCCATGAGCGCCGTAAACGACGGCACCGTGAGCACCATGGAGGCCATGAGCGCCGTAAGCGATGGCACCGTGAGAGTATCCAGTGGCAAGAGGAGCAGCGTAGCCGTGGGCGAGGGGAGCGGCGTAGCCGGCGGCGTAACCATGAGCAAGAGGAGCGGCAAGGCCATGGACGACTGGAGCGGCGTAAGCGTGAGCTACGGGAGCAGCTACAACAGGGGCAGCGTGGGCGATGACAGGGGCGGCATGAGCGTACAGGGGATCCTTGCGAACGATGGCATTGAAACCATTGTGGGCGTCAGCAGCATAGTCGACGGTACGCTTTGTGCCGTCGGAGTCCAAGAGTGAGTATTGGCCCACTACACTGTCACCGACACGGGTTTCGTGCTGGCTCTTGACGTCACCGGTGTGAGGATCTGATACGCCATATGAGAAGCTGGTGTAATCAGCGCCATGGCCGTGGATAGCGCTGCCTTGAGCAGCCGCCACCAGGAGAGCAAGTACGACGAACTGTAATTAAAAAAATTAACAGTTAAACAAATTTTTCAAATTTTACCATCCCTCGAGAATAGTGCTATTATTCTGGTCCTTCTCTGTGTCCCTGGCAACGTGTATGCCAAATTTCATGATGATCGGATGATGGAAGTAAGTACGCAAAGTCTAGCATTAGAGAAGTAAAAAAACAACTCGTTTTATAACATTTTTCATCAATGTTCTTCTTCTAATAGTCGTATTATTTCTTCTACTGCAATAAATTGGCTATCTAACACTATAAGATTTGTTAATTCAAGCCAGCAGTTTCTATGAATAGTATGTGTTATCAACGAATCAGACAAACTTTTCAGCTTTTTAACATTAATATATTATTATGTAGACATGAAGTACAATTTTTTTTTAAATAATATGAGTAGAATTTAATAAATATATACAAAAACCACATCGCTTACACAAATCCAGAATAATATAGATAAAATATATATCAACCTTTCGCGACACGAAAAACTATGCAAGGACAATTCGAATTAAAATGTCTTTAATATTTTAATGAACAAAATATTTATAAGTAAATGAATTTATAAATTATGGTCGAAGTTCGTTGAACTTTAGGCTATATATAACACGAGTTTTGAATATTATAAGTACGTTACTGACCGAAATGTTTTATGGGTACTCAGTACTCTGTTAATATTACAAGGCCTGCAACAAATGCGGCCATATCAATAAACAGCACAAAGGCGTTTAATTTCTACAATTAGAACATCAGATTAGAGAATTACTATGCTCTCATCATAACGGTGTTAAGTATTTTGAGTGTACATATGAATAAGATGCCAACTTCAAGGATTTGCACTGAACATTTCCACAAACCATTCATTCCACATCACAAAGATAAAAATTAAACAAACCTTAGCTGCCATTTTAGTTATGTAATTGTTTGTTGTACAGTGAACTGCGAATGATAAATCTTGGTTACCAATTCTCTTTATATAGTGTTCCCTTACAAACGTAGCCGGACTAATAATAGGAAGTAAGAGACATGCAGCTAAGGTCACGAAGCCGTAGGGTTTTTAGTACAATTTCGTAAACGAGTTATGCGAAACTACAATGCTGACCACTGGGTTGTATTATTTGTACGTATTAATTAGATGTTAAAGGTATATGAATAGATCAAAGCGTATTAAATTCGTCACTAAAACTTTTGAGATAAAGGCATAATACATCAAATTTTAAAGAAGGGGATATAAACAAACAACTTTGCAATATAATTTGTTGGCAGCCAAATTAGCAATCTACATACATTAGGTTTAAAAAAGGTTAATTGGGTGGGCTGGGTGGGGTCCGGATATCTTTATAATAGCAGTTCCCGGATCTCTCCTATTACAGGCTCAGAGCATCACACCGTGTGGCTTTAGTCGATTCCAACCCACCATCCTAGCCGCAAACAACTGTGGGGTGACGACTCGGAGGGGTTAATCGGGTAGACGGATCTGTTACTCCTCATATGCACATCATCAGTTAATGTCCATGTTCTATTGGTCTTTTCAATCACGCTTCTGCAGCGATGGCGCAGTGGTTTAAGCGGTCGCCACGCCGATTCCTACTGCGCCGAGTTTTGTGGGTTCAAACCCCACATGGGACGACACTGTGTGTGATCCACAAATTGTTGTTCTTAGTCTGGGTGTTCTTTGTGTCCGTTTCATGTATGTTTGTAAAGTCCCCCGCGACACAGGATATTTTCCTAATGCGGGAGTTGTCTTTTTTTAATCAAGTGAAATAAATCAATGTACAATTCAATTACATGTAGAGTTTTCAGGTTATTACGTTAACATGGTATACGAACAAGCGTAAGTAAATTAGTAATTAGTACCTACCCACAAAAGTATTAACTTTTTAATATTTTATTCTCTGTAAACAAATATCAATGTACCAGATAGGAAATTTGCGGTCACTTCCTTATTTAGAATGTAAACGAAGAAAATAAAACAATTTGTGATGAATTTAAACTCATTTTAAGAACGAATTTACAACTTAAATATGACACGGTGGAATAAAAGAGTAACTTGTGGAGTTACTACAAATTCTTTAAGAGAATTACCATGTTTTATTATTGTTTACCAATGACTAAAAACATTATTTTTGGAATGTCTGAGATCCATTTCCTCTTCTGAAACTTGCAATATTCCGTACCCTGGTTCCTCTATCCTGTTTGTTTTGCCTGCCCCCAATTTTTCTTTTTCCTTGGTCCTGTCTGAACACGAATAAAAGAAGCCATCCAAAAATCTTAAAATGTTACTGAATTTTTTTTTGGTATTGGTATTGGTTGTGGGCTTCGGTTTCCGTATTTAGACTCAGAGTGGTCCTTTATGCGTCGAGGATTGGTTGACTAGGTGAGCCAGCCAAGCTCCTTCCAGAAGCGCAGAAACCTCCTGGGGCGTTCACAGGCTTCTAGGAGCGACTTTATATCAGGAATGATACTTGCCCGTTGTGTGGCCACTCCCTCGCATTCCAGGACTACGTGGACGGCCGTTTCTTCAGCTTCCAGTCCGTCCGTCAGCTGTTCAGCTGTCCGTCGCATTGATTATGAATAGTTGTCGGTTCAGGGTTGTTCAATGACTCAATGTTACTGAATACATCAACCCTTAATAAAGTTGGGAGAAGTGCTCTTCCGTTTAAAGATGATGTTGATGTCAAATATATGTATACATAAATTAGTGATAAAGTTATAACAATGCATCCTCTGAGACCAACTTAAGAAGATGGGCTTCGCTAAAAACACATATGAGCACAATGGCATATCCCCAAGCAACCCAGACCGATTTGGTTTCTAAATATTTCAGTTAGTTTAATATCTCGGTTAGTTATTTTAGTTTGGTGTTAACTGGTCACGTTTTTTAAGCACCTTGACGATAACCGCGTCATGTGATCACCTGTACAAGAGCTGTGGAGTACGTGTGCACCTCAGTGTAGGAAAATCTGTGCAAAAAAAAAACAAATCTATGGCCCATATGTTTATTTTATGGGCTAGCGAATGCTATGCGAAGTGTTCAAAAGTAAATAACATAAATATTCGTCGTAAATTTTTGAAAAAAATAAGGTTATAGCTCATTCCATAACATTTGGAGGACCGTTACCTGAGGCCAACTTTGAGGTGGGATATAAAAGAATCGTTTACCGTGATATTTCAAAAAACGCAAGATCCCGGCAGCACTGATCGTTGGACACAAGGGCTTTTGTCCAAGATCCAAGGAGAACATGCCAAAGGTTTAAAATACCTATTTGCTTAGAGCAACACATAAAAATTTGTACAAAGTGTTCAAACTACAACTAATTTCATTTTATAATTATTTATAATAACATATTTTTTCATTAATTGTTTTTTCATTTAAGAATCAGAGACATTTTAGTATGGGATGCTCCAGCAGCCTTGAGTAGGAATAACATGTGTACTAGATGGCAGTTCTAGGGTTAAATATTTAAACTTAATTTTGCATATTTAAATTCAATATCCATAAACATTTTTAAATAAAATATGCAGTAGTTACTAAAAAAAGAAGCTACTTTTTAGGTAGAAGAAAAAATAGCTTGTGTTTACTTGAGTCTAAGTTAATCTAGGCGTAATCAGTGAATGTGTCTCGAAGAAGTAGAAATGTTTCCGTACAATGCTTTAGAAAAAAATTCTGACCTCTAATGATTGGCATTAGAGCTCAGAATTTTTTTCTAAAGCATTGTACGGAAACATTATCTGCGATATAATCACAAACGGATTTCTTGTGGGACCATGTTGCTATGAACTGCAGTGTTATAATATATGTACATACAAATAGTCTGTGCACTGGTGAACTCTGCTATTGGCGATTTTAAGCAGTCGTATTACAAAAATATCAAAATAAAAATCTCATGTCTCACAAAGCCAATGTAGTTACTCTATCACAAAAGTTATGAGATCTAAATAGATAATAAATCTACTGTTAGATGATGTATGTCATGTCAATAAGGTACCTTTTTGCATAATTTCAAGCTTCCAGTACAAAAACTCTAGAATTTAATATTTTCTAAGCTGGCATGTTTTATCGATACACTGCCCTTATACTGTAAAATAAAGAGTCATTAAATATATTGCCTAAAAAAATGTGTTTGATAAAATTTATTTCACACGGTGAGTATCCATTTATGATAATTCTACACTTTTACTAGGAATTATAGTCGTACATCATGATGGATAACCTATATTTGCGAAAACACTTTTCTGGCGAAATTTTTCCAAACTAACCTACCAAAGTCGATCTAAAAAAAAGAAAATTAAAGGCATATCGTTCTTTCCTTGAAACTTTTTAAGACGTAATCTAACTTAGTGTAACTTCATCGGTAATAAGTAACTCATGTGATAAGCAAAAAGAGATAAGTAATAAGTGTATTTTCAATAAAATAAGTATATTTTTAAATGTCATTAAATTTAAATATGTCGTAGCAAAGCTATTTAAAATCAAGCGCCTGTAGCCTAGTGGTTAAGGCGTTGGCCTTGTGATCAAGAGATCGTGGGTTAAAATCCTGACCAGTATACTACCGGCGTGAACCCACTCCTAACCCAAGCTTAACGGGAATACTAGTAATTTCTAGTACTAGTCCTTTAAATAAAAAAATCAAGCCAAAGTTTCTTGATTTTGATGCTGCTGTCGTCAACGTGTAATAATAAAAAAATAACTATCAAAAACATCACAAGTAATTCTTACACAGTAAAAAGTTGTCAGATCTAGTCATTACTTACATTATTAAACTCAACATTTTAACGTCGCGATATCAACATTAGACATTTTTATCTCTTAATTAAATAGGTTGATTTTTTAAACGTACAGGACAATGTTTGTGTATGCATTATGGCTCTATCTTCAATTAGGACCATTGAAAACAGTAGTTAACTGTCGTGTAATTATATAAAAGAGTAGTTAATTGTCCTATTGTCATTGCTGTGTATCCAAAGTTATTCTATTTAGAGAAGAAATAAAGTCTGACATGGTCACTTTAAAATGTTGACTTGGGTTTTTCATTTCGTTTTCATCGTTAATAATCAGATTAACAATATATTATGAAAAACCCAAGTCAGTATTGTCCTTACAAGTTCATATTTCCAATACTAAAATTACCAGAGGTCAAAATTGAATCATTAATACATTAGAGTGTTTAAATCTTCAAAATTTAAACCCTATCTAGTGCATAATCGATTTCAATCACAATCAAATAATGCACAAAGGGGATGTTTTATTGTGTCAAAACACAAAAACAAAAAAACAGTATATCAAGTTATTTTGAACTATTTTATTTTGATCACAGCATTGATTGGAGTTGTAGAATAAATTATTAGACCATTACTTAGTACAAATGAGCGCCGTAAAGACCGTGAGCTCCGTGGAGGCCATGTGCACCATGGAGGCCGTGAGCGCCGTAAGCGATGGCACCGTGGGAGTATCCAGTGGCAAGAGGAGCAGCGTAGCCGTGGGCGAGGGGAGCGGCGTAACCAGCGGCATATCCATGAGCAAGGGGAGCGGCGTAACCATGAACGACTGGAGCGGCGTAAGCGTGAGCTACGGGAGCAGCTACAACAGGGGCAGCGTGGGCGATGACAGGGGCGGCATGAGCGTACAGGGGATCCTTGCGAACGATAGCGTTGAAACCATTGTGGGCGTCAGCAGCATAGTCGACGGTACGCTTTGTGCCATCAGAGTCCAAGAGCGAGTATTGGCCCACTACACTGTCACCGACACGGGTTTCGTGTTGGCTCTTGACATCACCGGTGTGAGGATCTGATACGCCATATGAGAAGCTAGTGTAATCAGCGCCATGACCGTGGATAGCACTGCCCTGAGCAGCCGCCACCAAAAACGCAAGTACGACGAACTGTAAATGAAAAAATATAGTTTTCTTTAACTTCATGGAACAAAGAACAATAATTGAAATATTCGCATAAGTTAGGTCTGGTCATGTATTTTCATTAGCAGTGTATACACGATAAAATACGACAGGATATAGACTAAAATAGCTGGCATTAACTGATAATAAGGTTATTGAGTAAGGAGAGGCCTATGTTTAACAGTGGACTAGTATAGGCTGTTGATGATGATGATGAAGGTTATTGAGTACAGATGTATGTGAATGAAACGAACCGTTTCAAAGATAAGGCAAGTTTAGGCACGTCTAAAGTCACTGAAGTACTTTCAATCTTGTTGTCTTTTCTTTGACCACCTAACTTTAAATATTTAAATGAAAACTATATATTTAAATGACCATTGATAATAATATGTTTAGGGCAATGTATTGTTGATGATATTTGATGATTATATTGCTAGTAGAGACTTGAATTGTTATATTATTCTATAAATGGTAGATGTGGAGTTTAAGTCCTTGATAGTTGACTGGTTGAGTAGACTGGTTACTACTTTGTTTCTAAAGCTTATTTGAAAGTTGTTTTTTATTTATCTAAGATAACGTTATTATTAATAAACAAGTATTTTAAATAAGGTTGAACCTAAGTTCATCGAATACCTATATAATTTACATTTTAACTTCAAGGAATTGCACTGAACATTTTCACAAATTATTTCACTTCACAAAGATAAAAATAGAACGAACCTTAGCTGCCATTTTAGTTATGTAATTGTTGCACAGTGAACTGCGAATAATGAATCATTGTTACCAATTCTCTTTATATAGTGTTCTCTTACAAATGTAGCCGGACCAATAATAGGAAGTAAAAGACATACGGCTAAGGTCACGGAGTGTAGGGTTTTTAGTACAATTTCGTAAACGAGTTATGCGGAACTTATAGTTTTGACCAGCAGATTTAGTTAGTATTGAAAATGATATATTTGAGTTACTTGAAGATGAAAAGACGTTAATGAAATCTTTACTCCTTAAATACCTAATAAGATTGGGTGAAAAATTATAATTATAAACAGTTTATTTTCTAGTCTTAACGAATTCTCTAATCACATGGTATTCAGATATGTAACCGAGCTATTGAAGCCTCATTCCTGTATAACACTGGTCTTAAGCACTACCCCGATAAAGAACCTCTTGATCGAGTTTGCGATGTGTTCTCTCTTTTTATAAAAGCTGATATCTCAGTTTGATCTCTTACCACTTTGCTTAGAGTGTAATTGAATATTTAATACTGTCAATTCTCTTAGCCATTTCAGCGAATCCTCTTAATGCAAATTCAAAAACAACATTATCAAAGCATTAATACTTCCAATTTACAAAAAAAAATGTTATAAGCATGTGCGTTTTGTTAAAAGTTAAAACATGCATAAATTAAAAGCCAAGTAATCTTAGCTTTTAACTTATGAATATTTTTAATCGACGTCAATAATAATATAATTATATTTTCTATTTGTTATTACTAAATCTTTATCGCATAATCTTGTGACTCCATGTACAGCTATTCTCGTAATATTTTACTACAACCCATTTTTAAATTACTGTCATCATCATCATCAACCTTTAATAGTCCACTGCTGGACATAGGCCTATTCTTAGAAAGGAGGTTTTGGCCTGCAATACCACGCTGTACTAGCGGGTTGGTACACGATTTGTTATAAGTTAAAGTCATATACTTCGAGGTTGCCTTGCAATGAGCATTTTGAGCATAAGTATTTTGTCTGTTGGGGTTTAAATCAAACACACAATACCCACCTGTATCCCTGAATTGTTAAGTAAAGACCTATTAAACACTCACTTTTTGATCTATAAGTATAATATTTGGTCTCACTCGCAATATAAAGTTCGCTTATTCCTATCAATTTTACTTTTTGGGAATCCAAAATTTGGAGTAATACTCGAGCAGAAAAGGATCACATACCGGTTATTCGAATAAACTTCTGCCAAGAACTCCAAAATAGTTTAGATGTTATTAATAATGCGATATACATAATTATCAGTACCATATTGCTAGGCTCGTGACAAATATGGTTAGGTAGAGGGGGTAACACAGCGGACAGTGGAGGTGAGCGCTGACGCGTCGCAAAGAGTACTCCCTACATCAACTCCTGGGTCGCTATTCGCATGTTTGTTGAATTCATAGAACGCTAAGAAATAGGTCAGGATTAGTTGGTACTACATCCCTAACAATTGTCTAAAGTTTCTTTAATGTGTCTCCAAATGATTTGTTGATATATGCATAGTAAACTTTTTAAATCAAAGGTTTTTAGTCCCGTTACATATTCAGTAAAAACGTCATTTTATTTATATTTTCTTATTTAAATATTTAAAATAAATTACTAATATAATAATAATTCTAGATGGAAATACGATATGGCGTTAATAAAACGATCACTGCAAAAATTGTTAACGTGATAAGTAATTAGATTTCGTAATTTTCGTATTATGCAAAAAAATATAAGAATTAATTCTATGTAGTCAATACCAGTTATTTTTAGTGTGATTTATATAATATACATTTTACTAACACAGTTATTTTATTTAAATTACACTCAATACTTTTTTGTGCTACGAGTAATTCTTAATTTTGCCTGTAGTAATGCAGTGTTAGATACCCAAAATATGTAACTGTTACTCTATTTATGTAAAATATATGTAAAATGATATGTACGTATAATAAATAATGCTCATGTATACATTTAAATTTTACAATAGTTAAGTAAAAAAATAATATAAATAGTTGCGAAAAAAACTATGAAATATAAAAAAATTAGCAATATAAATTGATTACGATAAGTTGTAAACATATTCGAAGGTTGTTCTATTTAGTGTTGTAATAAATTATTTATTAATTTTAGTGAAATTAGATCATTGATAGGGACGCATAAAGTTCATTAAAAGAATTTCGTAAATATATGCAATTTTAGTTTTGAATCTTATTTGTAATTAAGGATCAAAACGTAAAATGAGGGTAAAAACATGTAAAAAAATTACATGCAACTAAGTTATGCGCCAATATATTTTTGTTAAATTTTGACATATTTTGTAGGCCTTTACTTTAACCAAAAGGTAAAAATAAAATGTATTTATTTATTTAACCTATTATAGATTTTTACAAAATAAAATGCCAGTTATATCTTGATGTATAAGTAATTGAATAATTATGTAATGATTTGAAACCTTTATTTACAAATACATAAGAATTTGAATTTTCTTATGTATTTGTAAATAAATGCAAATACATAAGAATTTGGCGATCGTATGATCTTCTGTTATTTTTTATTTTTCTGTTGCATAATACCTGTTCTTTACAAAATGTGGTATAGTTTGAAATTTCGTAAGCTTCGTAAGCTTGAAGCTTACGTATAGAAGTTGTTGAAACCAGATCTTCGAGTTCATTGTGGCAAATATTCTTTACCATTGGTTAGCATTGGGTACCAACCAACTGTTCTCGAAAGTCATTACGAATTCTCGCACGTAGATTTGACGATTTCCGGCCTGAACAAGCCGGTTTCTGAAAAGGCTTTGGCACCATGCCATAGACCACATACGCCGCGGCAGGTTATTCACAAGTCTGAAGAGTATAACCTTGCGCTATGTTTGGCGTTTGTAGATTATGAGAAAGTTTTTGAATTGATCGAAAGTTGGGCTGTGCTACAGTCTGTCTGTCTCTCCAGCGGTGCCAAATCGACTATCGGTAAATGTACCGATTGTCAGTCCATCTACAGGATCAGATCTATCCAATACTATAAAGAAGAATAAATCTATCCAATTACAGCTAAGTTTGAAGCAGGGAGATGTATTATCGCCGAAAATGTTCACCGTGGCACTGGAAGACGTATTCAAGCTTCTGGACTGAAATGGCATCAAAATCAATGGCAAGTGTATTACCCACATTCGATTTACTGATGATATAGTTGTCATAGCTGAAACCATCGTGGACCTTAGAATTTTGCCCGATGACCTCAGTAGGGTCTCTAAACGAGTGGGTCTTTAATAAACTTGGATAAGACAAAAATTATGTTGAAAGCCCACGTCACACGCATTCCAGTTAAAATTCGAGACTCTACGCATTTCCTTAGGACAAACTATCCAGTTAGGTATTTCTAACTTCGAAAAAGAGGTCAAACGTCGACTCCAACTAGGTTGGGCAGCGTTCGAGAAGCTGCGTGACATTTTCTCGTCCAGAATACCGCAGTTTTTCAAGACGAAAGTCTGACTAGTGTTGCATATGGTGCAGTGATAACATATGGTGCAAAGACATGGTCACTCACAATGGGCCTCATTAGATGGATCAAAGTAACCAAAGAGAGTATGGAGAGGGCAATGCTCGGAGTTCTCTGCATGGTCGAATCAGGAATAAGGAGATCCTCAGACGAACCAAGGTCTCTGATATTGCCCGGAGAATTTCCTAACTTAAGTGGTAGTGGGCGGGCTATATTGCTCGCAAAAAGGATGGCCGATGGAGCCACAAAGTTCTCGAGTGGCGACCGCGTACAAGGTGGTCAGACGACCTAGTGAAGGCTGCGAGAAGCCGTTGGATGCGGGCAGCACAGGACCGGTTATTGTGCTGAACCTTGGGGGGGGGGGGACTTTCGGCTGAGATGATGATGAGATGATTGGAAGATAATTTGTGATTTAATCTACATAGTCATATAAATATACTCATGGGTCCCAAACAATTTTTGCTCAGATTTTGATTTTTTACCTGGTGTTTTTGTATTCACCTTCATTTCCTTTTTTATATATATTCTGTTACCGCATAGCAAAAAGGTGACGAAAGAAGAAAAAATAAGATAATTTTATACCAAGAAAAAAACAACTTTTTGTAAGATTTCTTCCAATGGTACTGACTTTCCCTTTAGCCGTGGGAGAGTCATGCTCTGGCATAAATGGGTGGTCTAAGTGATTCCACGGCCTCACAGAAAACTGGTGTTAAGCAGTTTGGTTTGGAGTCGGTTCGAGTGCAACATAACCACCGGTGGGTGGTATCCGAGGGGATTTCCGCACAAAAGAAAGGAGAAGGGACTCAAAGGAGTTGCAAGTGTCCATGGACGGTGATAATTACTTACCATCAGGTGACCCGAATGCTTGTTTGCCTCCTTTATGCTAAAATAAATTAATTAAAAATAAATCTTATCTTTCATACACTTCAATTAAACCACTAATAGTTAAGATAACTCGTGGGTACATGATATTAAACTAACTGAACTAACCATTGTTATAAGTTTTTATGTAAGTAATTGTAACACTCTTGCATTGTATATTATTATGCTACATAACTCATAATTTGCTTTATATTCTTAGTGCCCGCTACTGAACATTGTCTTTATCCGAAGAATTCCAACCAGTGTACCCATGTCGGCTGGATCTAATAGCCACATAGTATATTTGTTAACAAGGAAACAGTCATGGAATAGATGTATACAGAATACAATATTGCACCTTGTTAAAATGCATCTGAAGATGCAGGTTGAGTAAACTTCGATCTTTAAAATAAATCCTTGGGACCAATATTAGGAATTGTAAGGATCTACCTATATTATACTCTCAGTAGAGAGGTTTTCACTTTGCTAAAAATCTTTGTTTTATTTGGTAGGAAAAGAAAGACTATTTAATTCATTAGAACTTTATCATTAAATTCATATAATTTGAAGTAATTTTACATAACAGATATCGTTGTGAGGCCTATTTTTGTGGGTTGC